TGGGACTTCAAAGGGGAGGAAGGGAATTCACATGGAGATGGAAAAGCAAATGTTTGGTAAAGACGTTTGCCATGCCTTGTAGAGACAATGGGACATGGAGAGGACTCTAATCTCTAGGCCCTGCTGTGTCTCCTCCACCACACCTAGCCCATGCTCTTTGTAGATATCTCTGTTGCTGTTCCAGGTCATTTATCTAAATTCTTTTAGTTAAGGGAGAAATAACAAGAAAAACTTCCCGAGTCTTCTGTTTCTTAAAAATAATCAGCCTAACTAATTCTCATGCCAAAGAGACACATTTTGGGGTGGCAAATTTTGGTCCCCTCCATCACCTTTGCAGTTAGGTTGAACCATGTGACTGGGTTTGGCTCATGGGATCTTGGTAGAAGTAACCAAAGTCCCTTCCTGACCTGGTCAGGATATTTTAATATCCTTCTATAGCTATGCTGTCTGATATGGTAGCCCCTAGCCACATGTGGCCATTGAGCACTTAAAATGCAGCTACTCCAAATTGAGATGTGCTGTAATATACACAACAGATTTTAAATAAATAATACAAAAAACATTGTAAAATATCTCTTTAATAATTAATATATACTCATGTGCTGCATAACGATGTTTGGGTCAAGAACAGACCTCGTATATGACAGTGGTCCCATAAGATTAGTACCATATAGCTTAGGTGCGTGGTAGGCTATACCATCTAGGTTTGTGTAAGTACACTCTATGACGTTCCCAGGACAACAAAATCGCCTAACGGGCGCATTTCTCAGAACATATACCCATCATTAAACTATGCATGACTCTATTGATTACATGTTGAAGAGAGAATATCTTGGATATATTGTTAGATAAAATACATCATTAAAACAATTTCACTTGTTTCTTTTTTACTTTATTAATGTGACTACAAGAAATTTTTAAATTATATAAGTGGTTTGCATTATATTTCTACTGGATAGTATTGCCAAACTTCTAAGGGTTCCATATTTTTCTACTTCAATACATCCACCATCCACTTCCTCATTCATTAATTATGCAGCAATATTTATTGTGAATCTACTGTATGCCAGATACTCTTCTAATAATCCCCTACTGATAAGATAGAGGATGAGGGTGAAGGGGAGCAGAATATGCCACCCCAAAATATGCCTCTTTGGCATAAAGATTATTTTGAGCTGAAGGCAATCCAGACCCAGAAGACTCAGGGAAAGCTTTTTACCTCCCTGTCAATGGCCTAAAAGAATTTAGGCAGGGGGCCTGTACCAGAAAGAGCAGTATTATGAGAGAGAATTTTTCATCTGAAAGACTTATCTGCATGGCAGGGCAAACATTTGTTTATCAAACATTTCCTCTTCTCACCTTCCTGTGAATTGTTTTCCTCCTCCTTGTAGCACCAGACCCCAATCCCATTCCTTAGCTCAGGATAGTATATAACCTCAATTGCCTGACTTGCCTTTGACTCTCTTATCTTTGTGGGGCTCCTGTATATACAAACGAAATTAAATTTGTTTTTCTCCTGTTAATATGTATTTTTATTACAGGGGTATCTCAACCAAGAATATAAAAGGGTAAAGGTAAAATTATTTTTCCTCTTCTACAGGGGTATGTGACTCCATGATAAAAATGAGGGAGAGGTTAACAGATATAGGAAATGAATTATATGACAAGATTTTTTTGTGCTCAGACTAGAATCTCTACCAGAAAGCAGGAGAATTGACTATAATGGCACTTTCTGAATGGTGTATTAAGAACCACAGATGCTGGGTCCTATCTATTAGGAAGAAGGAGCACACAGAGTTATGAAATGTTAAAAGACTCCTGTGTCTCATTCCTTGGACTTCAAGTGCTGTGGCCTTTTTGCGATGCCTGCAAATTGCCCGGGGCTTCTGTGACTGTGGTGATAGTTCTGAAACAGAGACACTCAGCTTTAGGAGTAGTTTAAGCTTGACTATATGGACCTATTGCTGAAAAATATATGCTTTTTTCAGTCTTTTGCAAATATTAAAAACTACTCATAATCCATTTGAACCACTTATTATTAGTCAAGGGTTTTAAACATTCAGAGTTCTCAGATTATTATTTTCTTTTGTAGAGAAAATGTAGATAGCTCCTTTGCAACTTCTTTCTATTGTGTTGTGGGGGAGTAGAAAATTTCCCCCTCCCATTTTGGTTCTTATGGCTGGTTGAACAGTTAAAATCTCACTACTTGCTTCCACTGGACCCTGCAGATAGAGATACTGGGAGGCTGACATGGTAAGAAATCTTACCTTCTGCTGGCTTTTGTCAGACAACCCAGGATCTTTTCATCTGCAGCAGTCCCAGGGAGAAAGCAGTTTTTCCAGCCAGAGAAGATCCTGCCAGCCAGTGAGTATCCTGCCGATTATGCCAAAACTGTGGGGGAGGGGAAAGTTCCTCCCTTACTCTCTTGGTTCCTATGGCTGCTCAAACAATTAAAATAATATAAGGCAGGTTAACAGGAGAAACTCAAATTTAATATGTGTGCATAGGGAATTCATGTAAGCATGAAAAATCCCAAACACTGTCAGGCAAAATGAGGCATATATGTCATTCTGGACTAAGGAGGGGGGGAAGGCGTCTGGGACATCAAAGGGAAAGGAGGCAATTCATAGGAAGATAAAAAGAGTAAATGTTTGGTAAACAAATGTTTGTTGAGCCATCTACAGACAATGTGACACAGAGAGGACTTTGATCAAATGGCCCTTGCTAGGTTCCTCCCTGTCTACCACACCTAATTCATATTATACTATAGTTCTCTATGGTGATAGCTCCTTCCTGGAACAGGTCATTTATCTAAATCCTTTTTAGGCAGTTAGTGGGGGAAGTCAAAGCTTCTTCCCGTCTTTTGTTTCTTAAAAACAATCAGCCTAGAATAATATTCAAGCCAAAGAGACACATTTTGGGGTGGCAAATTTTGCTCCCCTACAGTGTATTACTCTGTCAGAGTACTTTCTTATATTCAACTAATTATTTCCTATGGAACATTACTTCTAAAGTATGTAAAACCCAATTTTAAAAATCCAGCTCATTAAAAATTAACTTAAGCAAAATAAAAGCAAAGCATTCAAATAACATAAAAAAGGCACCACTTAGTTTAGTTTCTATTTTGGCTAAAAAAATCCCAATTTGTCTGACTTTTCTCATAGGACCTTTTTCCTTATATTCTAATCATTGTTCTCCTTCCTACCTTACTTAATCTAAAATAATTTCCTTGACACATTTTTTTGTGTGTGTGTGAGGAAGATTAGCCCTGAGCTTACATCTGTTGCCAATCCTCCTCTTTTTTGCAGAGGAAGATTGGCCCTGGGCTAACATTCGTGCCCACATTCCTCTACTTTATACGGGAAGCCGCCACAGCATGCTCGACAAGCGGTGCGTCGGTGCGCGCCTGGGATCCTAACCTGCGAACCCCAGGCCACCAAAGCAGAGCACATGCACTTAACCACTACGCCACTGGGCTGACCCCTCTTCCACACTTTTTTATTTCCCTTTTATTCTTTATTCTTCTTTCTTTTTAAAAATAGAGGTATCAACATTATACTTCGATACTAATAAAGTTTATTGTTAAAACCTGTGAAAGAATCAAAACAGCATTTCTGTTGTTGAATCCCAAAATCCTTCTACTTCATCTTTCAACAAAATAATATTGCATACTCATTCATCTTTTGTTTCTCTTTACACCCAAGAAGTAAAATACTTTGCAAATGGCAGAGTTGATTCTAGCATCTAGACATCTCTAATGTATATCTCTAATCCATTGTATTTTTCTACTTAGATGGTAAAAGTGTAGTAAGCAAATTACCAGTCCAACATAGGTAGATCATAATATCTATGTGTGATTTTTTTTCTCAAAAACATGGAAAATAAATTCCCATAGACCTCTGCCACCAGAAATCCTAAAAGAGAACAACATAGGAAAATATATTTCTTCATCAACCAAAGACACAAATGGAAAATATTGTTATTCATGAAAAATAACATCTTTGTGATTTTATATAGGTTAGAAAGTAGAAGAAAGCTAGGACTGTTTTATAAGTTAGCAATATTTGTCTTATAACTTGGGACTGCTGATTAGCTAACCTATAACTATGATAAAAGAGAAAATATGCTAAATAAAATAATCATATAATGTAATTGTTTAGGATCTTAGATTATCAGGCAATATAATTCATGATCTCTAAAATGTTGTTGTTGTTTTTAATCCAAACTAGTTGTTTACTGACTTAGAAGACAGGTTTGTTCTTCAGGAGATATATCAAAATGCCTTATATATAGGCTCTCAATAAACTCCCAGTCTCTACTACCATAATTCAGTCATGGGTCATTTAACTACGGGGATACATTATGAGAAATGTGTTGTTAAGCGATTTTGTCATTGTGCGAACTCATAGAGTGTACTGAAAGGGAACAAAATTTGCCACCCCAAAATGTGTCTCTTTAGTATGAAGATTATTTTAGGCTATTTTTAAGAAACACAAGACTCAGAAAGTTTTTCTTGTGACCTCACCCTTAACTGCCTAAAAGAATTCAGATAAAAAACCTGTCTGAGGAAGCGACTTATTACCTTAGCATAACACGAATTAGGTGACAGGGAGAAACTAGAAAAGCCTGTTTGTTGGGCTCCCCTCTGTGTTCTTTTGTTTCTGTGTGGCTTAACACTTGTTTTTCAAACGTTTGCTCATCTTCACCTAGCTGTGAATTGCCTTCCTTCCCTTTGAAGTCCCTGACTCTCCCCACCTCCAACATCATCTTTTGTCTTTAGCTGAGGATGGTATTTCAGGTGAGGGCCTTAGCCATTTTGTTGGGTTACTCGGGTTTCCTGGGTTTCTCCACGTACGTATGTTATTAAACTTTTGTCTGTTTTTCTTCTGTTAACCTGTCTGATGTCAATTTAATTCTTAGACTAGCCAAGAGAACCAAGAAGGGTAGAGAAAAACTTCTTCTTCCCCCAAAGTACTTACATAAACCTAGATGGTATACCCTACTACAAACCTAGGCTATATGGTAGTAATCTTATGTGACCACCGTCATATATACAGTCCATCTTTGACTGAAATGTTATGCGGTGCATGACTATATACTACTTACATAGCTCATTTAGAATATTGTTAGAAGTAATCTTCATTTGAACTGCTTCTTTCAGAATATACGTGCATACTATACAGTGAGGCATATCTACTCATCAAGGGAATATTGCTGACATTCCAAAATTGTATTCAATTCTTCAAAAGTCAGTTATGATAATAAAATTGGTAATATAAGACATTCTGCTTTGCCTTTATTCTTAAAAGGTAGAGATTAAATCAATTTTACTTGAAAACCAGTATAATGAAATCAAACATTTTCATTCTTTGTGGTGATAAACCACGCTCCAGATTCCTGAAGAGAGCATTAGAGAAAACCTAAGTCAACATTCATTGTTACTAAATGTATACATTTTTCCTTCAATATCAGAAACATATATTAGTATGAATGTGTAAATATATTTTTAAAAAATTTATCAGAAGCCTGCCTATAAAACAAGAGGAAAAAAGTTGTAAAAGGGCATAAATCTATAATCATAGAGAGCAGGAGAAGAGAAAGGAACAAACTCAAAATGTTAGCAAATTTTGGGAAGCACTTCCTGGCTTAATGGCAGAACCAGAGGTCTCAGGCTTATCTACTAAGTCACACGCCCAGGATCAGGAATCAAATGTTCTTCCAATGAGCTGTGGTTCCTTTTCATGTGGAATGATATTTAGCAATGAACATCTGAGTGCTATTGTAATACTGTGATTTATAATTAGAAATATATATTTAGTCTTCCTCCCTGTTTCTGGCAGGGAGCTCCTAAAACCCTTGGAATCTCCTGAGTGATGAGAGTGATAAAGGTGTCTTTTGTTATGTTAATGAGGTTACTTTTGGAAAGCCCTTAGGTTACCTAAGGATGGGGGCTGGTTGCCAGGAAAAGGAACCTTGAATAGAGGGGTGGAACTTACAGTCCTCTCCCATCTCTGGGGAGGGGAGAGGGGCTGGAGATTGAGTTCAATTACCAATGGCCAACGATTCAATGAATCATGCCCAGTGTAATTAAGTCACCATAAAAAGTCAAAAGGATGGGGCTTGGAAAGCTTCCAGGTTAGTGAACACCTTGAGGCACTGGGAGAGTAGTCCCCCTGAAGAGGGCACGGAAGGTTTGCGCCCTTTCCCCATACCTTGCCCTGTGCATTTCTTCCATCTGGCTGTTCCTGAGTTATATTCTTTTATAATAAACGAGTGATCTAGTGAGTAAACAGGTTTCCTAAGTTCTGTGAACTGCTCTAGCAAATTAATCAAACCTGAGGAGGGGGTTGTTGGAACCCCCACCAATCTATAGCCAGTTGGTCAGAAGCCCAGCTGACAACCTGGACTTGCGATTGGTGTCTGAAGTAGGGGGGAGCAGTCTTGTAGGACTGAACTCTTAACCTTGGCATCAGACACTATCTCCTGGTAGAGAGTGTCAGAATTGACTTGAATTATAGGACACCCAGGTGGTGTCCAAAAATTGTCTGTTGGTGTGGGAAACCCCCAGCCCCCCCACACACACCCACGTTGGAATTGGGTTAGAATCATTTCAGCCAGGTGCAACCATTGCTGCTAGGCCTTCCCAGTTGATGGGAAATATATTTTTAGAAAATAAACTTTTAGTTTTTATTGACATTTTCAATTCAAATTTAATATTACAGAGGGTTTTTTCCCCCAAAATCTTAAATTATAAGTTTGTATATTTTCTTTTATCTACTATCCCTTCATTGGTATTTATTTTCTGGGTATTTTTACTTGTTTATTTTGCTATAGAAACTTTAGGGTCAGCTTGTCTAACTCCAGAAGAAAATGCTATATTGGAATGTCATTTAATTTATACATTAACTTAAAAACAATAGATACTTTTATAACGTTAAGTCATGCTCTTCAGGAACAAGGTAGTTCTTTCCCTTTGATCTTCTTTTGTGTCTTTCAGGAGAGTTTTAAATATAGGCTTTGAAAATTTCTCTTTTGTTTAAATTTGCTTCTTGTCTTTGGCATTGTAAATGGATACATCCGAGCCATAACATCTTCTAGCTCATTATTATTTATATATATGAAGTCTATTGATTTTTCATGTTAATTTTATATTCTGCTAATTTACTAAGTTATTTTACTGTTCGTATTGGTATTTATGTTTGTTAATGTTATTGTTTCTTTGTAACATTTTAGGTAAATAATCATATCTGCAAATTAGGCTGTTACTTCTTCTTTCAACTGTTTTGCCTTGAATTGGTTTATCTTGTCTGGTTGTGATGGCTAATACTTCCAACAGTTTTAAGTAGTAGTGAAGATAGCTGGAACGTTCCTACATTTTTCTGTCTTTAGCTAGAATGCATCAGATGTGTCTTTATTAAGTAATATGCTGACTTTTTGACTAAACTGTATATATAGAGTATAACATGTTAGCAAGAGTATTCTATGATTCTTTTTTGTTTTTGTTTTTGTTTTGTTTTGAGGAAGATTGGTCCTGTGCTAACATCTGTTGCCAATCTTCCTCTTTTTCTTTTTTCTCCCCAAATTCCCAGTACATAGCTGTGTATCATAGTTGTAGAGTTGCAGCTCTTCTATATAGGACGCCGCCTCAGGATGGCCTGATGAGCAGTGAATAGGTCCACCCCCAGGATCCCAATTGGCGAATCCCCGGCCACTGAAGCGGAACCCATGAACTTAACCGCTACACCACTAGGCCGGTCCCTCGATGCTTCCTTTTTATATGAAGTATCTTTATCAGGAAAGCGTGTCTATCAATTTTTTTTAATCAAATGTCAGTATCTCAGACTTAAATGTAAACAAAAAGTTAACATCACCAGATAATTTGAAGAATGACTTAGAAAATGAAAGAGTTTCCTCAAAATAAAACAAACAATAAACCAACACACAAGGACCTTAGAAAACCTCAACAATGTAAGAAGCAGAAGAGAATTGTGGAAGAATTGTATTGATAATCCACAGAAAGTAAGAGAGAAGGGATTGCATATTCTGAAACAAGATCATGAAGATATAAAAAATGAACAAAAAGGAAGAGCAGAATAAAACAATATTTTATGACAAAATATCTCAAAAAAAAATTACCTCCTTTGAGCTCCTTTCTCAAGAAGCTACCAGAGATTACATTCTACTAAAAACCAGAGAGTAAACCAAGAAAGATGATGACAGAGGATCTATGACACTAGGGATCAAACACAGAAGAGAAGCAGAGAGAGATCTTTGGATAATAGCTGCATATCAGGGTCAAGAAGAAGCATTCTAGAGGGTGGTCTGTTTAACAACACGCTTGAGTTCTTGTCTTATCATTAACTTCTTGGGCCTCTAACACTGATAATCACATCATTTTCTGATGCTCTCTGCCCTTCTTTGTGTCTTTTTCTGTGACTTACACTGTAAACATTTTTGTTACCCAGTACTCCATTCATGGCCTTATGCTCTACCTGAGGTGCCTCATCTATTTCTCTAGTCACCAAACCTAATAAACTTAATCATAAAGCTGTGTTTTCAAACCTGATATTTTTTTCCTACGCATTGTTTGTTAAATTCATTCAATTCCCATACCCCATTAAGCAAAACATTATGTAACCAAAATCCATCAGCTCTTATAACCCACTCAGCAAAATAAAAACCTGTCAGACAAACGCCAGCCTCAAGCGTTCTTCTCAGAGGGACTCAATTCCTCTTGCCCTCACAAGAATACAAACGATAATAACTAACGCTAATTAAATGTTTATCATATGCCAGATATAATTCTATGTGCTATGCATGCAGAACATCTTTTAATCTTTTAAATAAATATTTGATGGGGAAGTTGAAGCTTAGAAAGGTTTAGTAATTTAGTCAAGTTTACACACACTAAGTGTTAAACTGGGAATTAAAACTCAGGCTTCTGCATCCAGTACTTGCCCTCATACTGATTTCCTGAACACCTCATAACCATATTAAACCAAATATTTCAATATCTAAAGCCAAAGTAATCGACAACCCCTAAACATGCCTCTCTCTTCTCCTTTCTCTCTCAATTTATCTCAATTTATGGTATCTTTATCTGCCTAGTGTCCTGAGACAATGCCTTGCATCCATCAGATTCATTCCTTATCCCACTTTTCCAGTCATTAACCAAACATTGTTGTTTCCATTGACCCAACTAGGTCATCTCCATTTACAACATCTTGGCCTAATATCAGGACTTTGCCATGGCTTGGTAGATAGGTTCAGGAAGCACTTGGAAATGTGGATCTTGAACTCAGTGTTACAAATGCATATTTGGAAGTTGTATACCAAAAATCCTTTCCTGAGTGCTTCCTAAGTGTCAAACCCAGTGTTAGGCCCTGGGTAGTGGTGACGTTTGAGGACATGAAAGAAGATAAAGGAGAAAGTGTCTACAGAAGAAAGGACTGAGATAACAACCAGTATGACCAACTTTGTTTTCAATTCCTCTCTCCCTTTCTTCCTTCCTTATTTCTATTCATTCAACAAATATTTATTGGATATCGTTGTACACCAGGAGTATGCTTTAGGTTGAACTAACAGTGATAACTGAGTCAAGGTTTAGACCCTCAAGGAGCTCAGTTAATAGATGTAAAATATACGTAAACAATCATTATAATGCAGTCAACACAGGTTCTACATAGTAAATACTATGAAGAAAGAAACTATAGGTAAATCAGACCTGTCTCCATTGATTTATGGCCATCTACCCTAGATCACAGGAAAGGCAAAGATCAAGTTAACTCCAATGCAAATGTACTGGATTTACACGCACATTCACACACATACACAATGATAGAGGTACTTTGTATCTTATTATTTTTTTTCAAAATTGAGATAGCTTCATTTATTTATTTAATTTTGACCTTGAGGTTAATTTCAGGGGCTGAAAATAAATCCTCTTTCTATGAAAACATACCAAAACTAAAATTCTTTTCCATGATTTCTCATGGGAAATATACCTATATTTTCCCACCAAACCCTCTCCTTCAATAGTCTTTCTTATGTCAGTAAATAGATATCCCATCCTTCCTTATGTTCAGGCTAAAATTGTTTTTCTCCATTCTCTCAATCTCCATACCTATTCCATCAGTAAATCCTGTTATCTCTACTTTCAAAATGCATCCAAACTGTGACCACTTCTCCCTAGGTCCATGGCTACCAACCTAGTCCTAACCCTACCACACACCCAAGTTGGATTACTACACTATCCTCTAGCTCACCTCTCTACTTCTACCTTTACATCCTACAGTATAATTTACACTGTTTCCAGCCACTGCTTAAAACTCTCAGCCTCCTAATCTACCATAATGTAGAAGCCAAGGCCTTTACAATGGTCAATAGGCCCTGCCTGAGTTGTCCCCCTAATACCACTTCACCTGTAGGTCATAGTACTCTCCCTCAGTCACTCTACTCCAGCCACCCTGCTGTCCCTCGAACACACACTCCCTCCTCAGGACATTTGTACATGTTCTTCCTTCTGCTTGGAACTGTCTTCTTCAAGACATCTGCATGATTCATTCTCTCCCTTCCTTCAGGTTGCTTGTATGTCTCTTCAGAGAGGCCTTCCAAAAATCCACTTTATGAAATAGCAATCCACCCTATTCTTATTCTTCCATCACTCTGCTTTATCTTTCCTCTTAGCGCCTGTGGGGGAATCAGTATTTGCCACCCCAAAATGTGTCTCTTTGGCTTGATTACTTTTTTTTGTTGAGGAATATTAGCCTTGAGCTAACATCTGTTGTCAATCCTCCTCTTTTTTGCTGAGGAAGATTGGCCCTGGGCTAACATCCGTTCCCATCTTCCTCTACTTTATGTGGGATGCTGCCACAGCATGGCTTGATAAGCAGTGCCAAGGTCCACGCCTGGGATCCGAACCTGCAAACCCCAGGCCGCCGAAGCGGAGTGTGCAAACTTAACTGCTACACCACCAGGCTGGTCCCCTGATTACTTTTTAAGAACAAAAGACTCAGGAAGAAACTTTGACCTTCTCCCTTAACTGCCTAAAAGAATTTGAGATAGGGGCCGGCTCTGTGGCGTAGAGGTTAAGTGTGCATGCTCTGCTGCTGGCGGCCAGGGTTCAGATCCCAGGCGCACACTGATGCACCGCATGTCAAGCTATGCTGTGGCCGCGTCCCATGTAAAGTGGAGGAAGATGGGCACAGATGTTATCCCAGGGCCAGTCTTCCTCAGCAAAAAGAGGAGGATTGGCGTGGACGTTAGCTCAGGGCTGATCTTCCTCACACACACACACAAAAAAGAATTTGAGATAGAAGGCCTGTTCCAGGAAGGAACCATCACCATAGAGAACTATAGTATAATATGAACTAGGTGAGGTAGACAGGGAGGAACCTAGCAAGGCCCATTTGATCAAAGTGGTCTCCCTCTCATTGTCTTTACAAGGCATGGTCAACATTTGTTTACCAAACATTTGCTTTTCCATCTCCATGTGAATTGCCTTCCTTCCCTTTGAAGTCCCAAACCACTACCCTCAACATCCTCTTTTGTGTTTAACTGAAGACGGTATTTAAGGTGGTGGCTTCTGTGATTTTGGTGAGTTACTCAGTTTTCCTGGGTTTCTCCCATGTATATATGTTATTAAATTTTTTGATTTCTCCTCTTATTCTGTCTCATGTCAATTTAGTTCTTAGACCAGCCAGAAGAACCTAGAAGGGTAGAGGAATAGTTCTTCCTCCCCTACATACCCTTCACTATCTGAAATTCTATACTCTAGTTGCAGAGAGAGAAAACAAGCTGACAAATAAATACAAAGAATGTCAAATAGTTTGCTAAATGTTTCCTTGTTTAGTTTAGCTCATCTGGTTCACAGGACCCTATGATTAAAGGGACTTTTTCTCTTCACTGCCATATTCACAAACCAAGAGTACCTGGCATGTAGTAGGTACTCAATAAATAATACTTTAATGAATATACACTTTACGTGCATTTCTGTCAAAACATGTTTCCTTAAATATAAATGATTGTTTGCGAGGGATAGGGACTTAATGTATAGACATAATATTCGAAATATTTATTCTGTGACTAACATAATAGTAGCAGGTAATTTTAATAACACGACCAGTTCTTACAAAAAGTACCATCCATGGACCATGCATTTTAAAAAGATTGGTTTTCTGGGTGCCAGTCGAGCTAAATCAAAGAAGAAAGCATTTAACAAACTCATCTATAACTCTCATTTGTTCTCATTAAATGACAGCTAATACTAAACCATGGGTTGACTTCACTCACATTTCTAATTAAGGGGTCTATTTGTCCCCATCCATCCGCTGGCCACAAGTCAGGACAAGACTGAAAGTGATTGTTTATTTATTGATCACCTTTTGTCTACTTTTACTGTTACCTCTCTCTGCACAAAGAATTGGGATAGTGAAATTAGGGCTTAAATTAGAATAAGATTAAGCAGATGATTTTTTAAAACCATGCTCTGCCTTTAATGGTCCAAGAACTTTACAAATCTGCCTCTACCTGGATCACAAGAGAGATTTCTACAGCTGAACTTATATCAACAGATGACTGTCAGATTTGATCTTAACTCTTTGTGTTCTGGCTACCATGATCATAATTTGATAGAGAATTCTAGGAGGCCAAAGGAACTCTGGTCAAGTCAAAAATATAACCCATTAAGTGGAGCAGAGAAGACACTCAGAATGCCACTAAAATGAAATTTTTCTGCAGAAGCAAAATAGTGAACAAAACAGAAATTGAAAGATACTGTATATCCATCGGACAATTTTTAATCTTAAGAAAAATATATTGTTGCCAATGAAATGGTTGCAGTGAAAGAAAACATGGAGATAAAGTCAATATTAATGCCTGGATGGGCTATTTTTTTCCAAACTTTGAGCACAATTAATATGAAACATTCCCTACTTCAGACCCGATTAACTAACTGACATTCTATAGCAGTGGTTCCCAAAGTGTGTTCCCTGGGCCAGCAGCATCAGCGTGTCTCTTTACTGCCAGATTAAAAGGCCCAGAGCACCTGACATGTAATACGTGCCCAATAAATAATTAGTTGGTGAATGTAGACTGTGTGTGTGTAGTGTAAGCACCTGACAATTAGCTTTTTTGACTGTAATATAAGTGCCTGACATTAAGCTTTTAGTTGCTGAGGCATCCACTTCAAAGACATCCATCTCAAATAAACCCATTGCCAGCAACACAAGATAAAGAGCCAGGCCACCCCACCCACGAATTTCCTCTTTTTAGAAAGCTCTGGGTGACCTAGATAACTGACCCTTTGACTGACCTCTTGCTTTTCCCTTCCTGTGCTTTAATTCCCACTCTTGTGCTCTAAATTCACCAATGAAGAGTGAGCCCACAAAACCCTAGGCCCCCACTCTCGACCTTAATAAAGGCAGAACTCCAAGTCTGCTCTCTCTCTCTCTTACAGCAACCTTGCTGTGTGGCCCCAGGTGTACAATGTACCCTCCAGGATTTGTGAGTAATAAACCTTGTTGTCAAAGTTCCCTGATGGTTGTTGCTGAGGTGGGTCTTTCAATCATGGTAAGAACCAAAAGGGCCAGTCCAACCACAACTTTGGCTCCAAGTAGGGAAATGTCTGTGGGAGCTGCCTGGAGTCTATGGGTCCAGGTCAGTGCCCCCAGGCATTTCGAGGCAATAGCATCACTATCAATAGGCTGAGACTGACCCAGAACAGTATATTTCTATCAAATCATGTTTCCTTAAATATAAATGATTATTTATAAAGGATAAGAACTTAATACATAGACACAATATTCAAAATATTTATTCACTGCCTGACATAACAGCTGTAGGTAATTTTTATAATAGGAACAAGTTCTAAACAGAAACCTGTTACAAATCCAAGTTCTTGGGCCCCTCTAGACCTATGGAATCAGAAACTCTGACTATGGGTCCCAGCAAACTATGTTTTAACCAGCCCTCTAGGTAATGCTGATGAGTATGCGTGATATCAAATACCACTATGAAAAAATGTAACCCACTTGCATTTTCATTTTAGATCCGTATGTCTATTCCCTAAGTGTAAAGTGTAAGCTTCAGACTCAATTTTGCATGAAGGATTAGTGGTGGTAGGGCAGTCTAATTTGCTCTATAATTGCCTCTTGTTCTAAAACTTCACATTTTTCAACTGGAAGTTATATATTAACACGATTAAACCAATATCTTGTTGTTGCCCCAACAGCCCCAACAACAATATAATTATTCAGGAATGGCATCATGCTCTCTCTCACAACCTCCATTCTCCCTTCACACAGATCTCCTTAGCCATTCACCACCTGATAGGCCAAACTTCTTCAACTGGTCCATGCTTCTACACACAACTCTTGTTGCCATCTTCTGTCTTTAAATTGCCTTTGCACGGACAACCTCAAATTAAATGTCACCTCTTTTCAAAAAGCTGTCTTCCTCTCCAAGCAATTAGCCATTCTTTCTTCTATGTTCTCATGGCATTTCTTTTATATTAAAAGGCCATATTTTATTTTAATTATTTGTTCATAGAATTTTTTCCTCCTTCAGAGGACAATCTCCTAGAGAAGAAAAGCTATGTTGTATTGTGCCCTTTTCAGTTTACCATACTATGCCTGACACATAGTTGGCACTCAATAGATACTTGTTAAATGTTGAAACGTTATTGTAGCAACCATATATCTCTGGTGGGATGATACCAGAGTGCCAGCTATTCTTTCCAAAATAAAAATAAATCACTAAAGTCAATATATGTTGTTTTTCTAGAAAGTTATGTAGGGCCCTAAGACAGAATAAATCAGATAACTAATGCATTTGCCTATCAGCTACAGAGAATTGTTTTTTGCTAGCAACAATCATGCTAATTGGTAAATATTTACATTTGCCAGCTAAATATGCTTGCCACTGAGACCACTCCATACTATGCAGGCACAGCAATCAATTATGCCAATTTTCTCATAAGATATTTCAGAACATAGTAGCTTAAAGAGCAAAACATATGTAGCTTTTAAAACTAGCTAGAATTATTGAGTTCAGTAACAGTGGGTTGATAAAAGAACAACATATTCTAAGAAAGATCTGCAATATAAATAATAAATTATTTGTCTTTCATTGAAAACAGTGAGACCTATCACAATCTAATTTTCCTTTCACTAACTGAATGATATCCTTTGTTACTTGGGTACTTTGCAAAGATTAGATTTAGGAAAGCATTCAAGGGAATGGTTCTCAGTGGATTAGACCATTAGCATAATTATCTCAATTGCAAACACAGACACATCATTCTAGAAGTCATCTTAACATCTAGTGTAGATGTTAGGGAGTCCACATGGCAGTAAAGCAATATTTTGCATTTCTCATAAAATTATTTTAAATAAATATTTAAATTCTCTCTTATGCACAACAATTTGTTTGTGATTAGTGGAAATAAAAATTAATATTAATAAATAAAAATATTCACAATTTAGATGATTATATTGAAAACTAGAGCACTTCATTCACCAAAACCTAGCATGTGAAAGTATTAACATTTAATGTATTAGAAATCGTTTGGAAAGAATCAATTAAAAATCTTCCTCAACCATGGTTGAGTTTGGGGATTACTAAACACTCAAAGGTAGGTTATAAAGCCTCTGTTGGTACTGCAAGCATTAAATACCTTCTAGTCTCAAGTTTTCAATTTTCTCAAACCCCCTCTCTACTTCTAATAAAACTGAGCAATTTTGTGACAAGTGTCCCAAGAAAAATGCAGCATTTGGTAGGCAGAATAGTTGTCACTACAGTAACACATATGGAAATATCATGGATTTGAGAGTCTAGTTTCCTGGGTTCCAGCTTCATCTCTTCCATTTACCTTCCATTCCCCATCTTCTTGACCATTTACTTTATCTAAACTCTTATTTAGCTCATCTTGAATACTTATCTCATGAGATCATTGGAGCAACTAAAATATAAAAATATAACTCAATAGCATTATTAATATGAGGATATACAGGAACAAAAAGTTCCTAATCTTTACTATTTCCAAAATGAGGATTTCTATAGTTTCCTGTACCAATATTCATCTCTCCAAAGCAAGTGCATCAAATAATTCAAGTGTTAACCAAAGCCTTGTCTGAGTTGCTTATCATGATCCAGAGACACGGTTCACTGCCTTTCATCCTCTTTAGTGATCTAATTCTTCCTGAGACCAGATAGTAGGGAGAAACAGGAAGCCAGGGCATAGTGGTTAGTTTATATCTATGGTGAACGTTCCATGACACAATAGCTCTGCTCTGTTAATTCGTGAAGTCAGGTCTCTTGTGTAGTAGTTACATATAAGTTTATTAATTATATATAAATTTAGAACTGACACAGAGGAAAAGTAATACATATTGTTACCTCTTTCACTGAAACAATGTTTTGCCTCTACGTCTCAGTATCCTCCTTTTATATAATGAAACTATTTAATTCACTTTAAACATATAACATGCTTACTGAGTGTGTGTTCATGTGTGTTTGTGAGTTTGTGTGTGTGTGTGTGTTGAAGCCATGGATTGGCATAGGGAGTGTAGCAGGCTAATAAAACATAAATGTTCTTTTATCCCTGTTCCATTCAAAGAAGGTAGCAAAAAACATGCTCAAGAAAGAAATGAGCAGGCATCCAGAGGAATATTGCATAAATATATGGTTCCTTCAATTCAGAAAATATACTACACAATAACAAAAATGACAACACTTTATGTTTATCTTTTACTATGTATAAAATTATATGTTTTCTTACAAAGTAGATATGGACATATAAGGAAAACAAGACTCAAAGAATTTTGAATTTTATGTTTATATTTCTTTCCAAAATGAATTCAAGTGTGGATAGAATCATTTCCCCTAAGACTTCATTTCCCCATGTAAAGAAGCCTGGTTTACTGACTCACAATTTTAGTGTTAATTTACGTTACATCATGCTCATCATGCTTGCTAGAAGGTAAATTATGATGAATTCTTGGGAAAAGTATGCTATGTCAGTTAATCCTATCTCCTGCTATTGTTATCAGGAGAGGGTGAGTCCTGGCTTTTTAGAGATAAGCATATACATCATGGCGATGAAGACACAAGTGTATTATCATATCATGGGCCCTTGTGAAGTTCCTAGACAAAACTAATTACATCTTTCTACTTCATTTAAGTCAAATATAAAGTTATGTGCTTCTCTTGGAGGAATCAGACAGAAATGTGTATTTAGAGGATGGAAATAAAGATAATCACTAAATCCAATGTAGGATGAAAACCATCATATAACTCATTGGGAGATGGTTTAAATCTTTCAATTGATATAGCAGTAAATATTTTCCCCACAGATTGCTTTTACTCTAACACAAACATCAAGCAGGTTTTATGACAAAATTATTTTTGGTCATTATTTCAGAAGTGTACTTTCCTTAAATAAGCTTGTGTGAATGAGAAAGATTCTTATTATGTGAATTATATTTGTGGTATAGTAAACACTAAACATTTTTTTAGGCTTATAAAATATCTGCAAATTACATGAATAGAATATTTACCTTGAGTTAATCTTACCTAGCAATAGCTTTGTGTTTATGTGGAGATAAATAATGTTTGCTTATCTTTACAGAATAGATATGATAAATCACATCCTAGTAGAAATTTTTGGAATAGAAGGCTAATAGAAGACTTATTTTGAATAAGAGATAGGGCCTATTTTAAAATGGTACTAGGAAAGTGAAAAATAAGTTGGATTTACTACAAAGGTACATTTGGCTTCAAATGACACAAAACGATACGGCTATATATTTAATCACATTTTCCCCTTAAAATATCCCTTATGTAACTTTACAAAATAACAAGGAAATACTTTGCTGTCTCTTTATACTTTACAAATGTTATATAAATTTGTGTGTGTGTGTATGCCTCACTAATAAACCTTTTAACTCATCATATTCATTTTTATCATTATTGTGATTCTCTTTGTCTAATTTACCACACAGATGATCATTTTTCATTGCCTTTTCTCTCTTTTTAAAGTCTTCTTCAACACATTCTTTTCCATTCAGGAATTTTTCCTTTTCTCTTAAAATTAGTGCATATTTAATTATCTGTACTATTGACCAAAATGCATTTATTATATTTATTTAGTGCACTAGTGATGATCCTTGAGGTTACAAAGAAAACACACATTCCTGCCTTCAGTGGGTTCCCGTTTTCTCAGTCTAGAGTGTTTTGCTCTTTGATGCTCCTTCCTTGAGAGTCTCCCAGTCGGTAGAGATTTTCTTATAAATGTTTCTGGATTCACTCTAACCCAGAGTACTGCTTTCTCTGACCACCCACAGCCCACTCAATGCTACTCCATTTAGCAATTATCCAACATCTCCCAAATGTGTAGGTTCCATGAGATCAGCAGATTCAACTTAAACTGATTTTGTGTCTCGTACAGGCCTAGAATTCTACTGAAAGCCATTTAATGATGTGATAAGTAAGTGTCAAATGACATATCTCACAGTTATGTTTATCTTTTGGTATCACCAAGTGGCTTAAACTGAATCAATTAGCTTTCTCTTAATTCTTATTATCTTCAAAAGCATCTAAATAAGATTTAGTCATGTACCTGAAGTCTTCACAAGAAAACATAAGATAACATGGAAAAGATGTGGTTCAGGTTCTCTAAAGGAAAAATCAACACACATATACATAAATTTATCTCTAAATATTTTTCCTCTGTCTTTATAAACATTTGTTTAGATTCCTGATACTTAGGATATGTCCAAATACGAAACTTCTGTATTTGAAAGAATCGTGACTCTCCTGAGACAATTTTAATAGGTTTAGGGAAAACGTATATAAAATAAATGAAATAAGTAGGAGTTGAACTGGGGGGAGGGATACTTGGGAAAAAAGTCAACGCACTCATGCATGTGATTATTCCACAGCTTTTAAAATATGGGCACTCCTAAGGGTTGGGAAAAATTGCTCTAAGGCAGCGCCAACAACGTATTCATAGAAGACAGGATATCAAACTATGGTTTGTATATTAGCAAGTGAGTTGTAGTAAATCGTACTTGAGAATGTCAACGTATAGAGAGTGAAGATCTATTTAGATTTGTGGGAATGAGAATTCACAGGGTTTGTCATGCTTACACACCATGTTAAAGTAACTCATTGGTTTAATTAAAAGATTCAGAATATTATGTTACATTTATAATTTCAAAAAAACTCTAGAATTCTGATTTGTTTGCGTATTTGTTTGAAAGTTTATATCTGTTGCCTGTTTCAAAATTCCAAAATTAAGAAAATTTTAATGAGGCCAGTAAATACAGCAATCAAACCATATATACCCATCTGGTAAATATTCTGAGAATCACAAATTCCTATCCTAAATATTTCTGGGTCTATTTTTCATTTACTTTTCTTCATTTGTGTTGTTATAATTTATTCTTTTTTTTTCATAATTTGTACCCCATTTAGTTCAAAAAAAGCTGAGATTTAAAAAATATATGTTCCTTTTTATGCTTATTGTTTCAAGTTCTGTAATAACAATTTATTAATTATTACTTCAGTAAGTAAATATAAATGAAATTTGATTATTTAAAATTCAGTAACTTTACTTCTTGCCAATATATTAAAGAATGCCTGGCAAAAATCTGCTATCAAATACCACCAAGAATGGATGATAACTCTAAAACTTTTCGTAATAGTAAAGGGAGCACTTTTTAGCATCTCAGTGGATTGTTTTGGATGCATTACCAAAACTTCTACAAAATGAGACAGACCCATGGAGAGAGTAATTC